GACCTCAGAGCAAACACTTGACACTAACTAGCTGTGTGACCCTGGGCAAGTCACCTAACCCCAGTTGCCAAAAACAAAACAAAACAAAACAAAAAAAGCTAATGAAAACAAATGCAAAGGAAGGTGGCCTAGCTGTATCAGGTCTAAAACCATATTTTAAAGTGGCAGTCATGAAAACTATCTGGTAGTGGCTAAGAAATAGAGTGGTGGATCAGTGGAATAGATTAGGCACACAAAACATGGTAGTAAATAACCATAGTTATCTATCTAGTGTTTGATAAACCCCAAGACTCAAGCTTCTAGGATAAGAATTCAATATTTGACAAAAATTGCTGGGAAAATTGGAAAACAGTGTGGCAGAAATAAAGTATAGAGCAACATCTGTATACCACCATATACCACCATACACCAAGATAAGGTCAAAACAAGTATATGATTTAGACAAAAAGGGTGATACTATAAGCAAATTAGGAGAGCAAGGAATAGTTTACCTGCCAGATCTCTGGAGAATGGAATAATTTATGATGAAACAAGAGGTAGAGGACAGTCTGAAATGCAGATGGATTATCTTGATTACATTAAATTTAAAAAGTTTTATATAAACAAAGCCAATGCAACCAAGATTAGAAGGGAAGCAGAAAGCTGGGAAACAATTTTTGTAGCCGGTGCCTCTGATAAAGGCCTCATTTCCAAAATGTATAGAGAACTGAGTCAAATTTATAAAAATATAAGCCATTCCTCAATTGATAAATGGTCAAAGAATATGAACAAGCAGTTTTCAGATGGAGAAATCAAAGCTACCTATAGTAATATGAAAAAAAGCTCTAGCATAAGAAATGCAAATTAAAACAACTCTGAGGTACCACCTCATACCTATCAGATTGGCTAATATGACAAAACAGGAAAATGATAAATGTTGGAGAAGATGTGGGAAAATTGGAACACGAATGCATTGTTGGTGGAGTTGTCAAATGATCCAACCATTTTGCAGAGCAATTTGGAACTACACCCAAAGGGCTATACAACCATGCATACACTCTGACCCATCAATACCACTAGTATCCCAAAGAGATCATAAAAATGGGAGAAAGATCCACATGTACAAAAATATTTACAGCCGCTCTTTTTGTGGAGAATTGGAAATTGAGGGGATGCCCTCGCCATACTCTTCTACCCTCCTGGCTGTTTTACAAACAAGACCCTCCATCTCCCAGCTCTGGCATTCTCTTTGGCTGCCCCCCAAGCCTGGAATGCTCTTCCTCCTCCACTCCGACCACTGACCTCTCTGGTTCCTTTTAAGTCCCAACGAAAATCCCACCTTCTACAGTAAACCTTCCCCAACTGTTGCTCTTTCTAGTGCTTTCTCTCCTTTAATTATTTCTTATCTATCTTGTATATAATGTGTTTGTCTCTGTTGGTTTGCATACTGCCCCCTCCATGAGACTGTGAGTTCCTCAAGGACAGGAACTGCCATTTACCTTTTTTATGCCCCCGGCGCTTACCAGGGTGCCTGGCACATAGTAGGTGCTCAATAAATGTTTATTGGATTTAATTGGACAGAAGGAGAAATGAGATGAGGAGCCTGGGAAATAGATCACAAGTGTGGTACAGAAGCATGATTACTAATACCTGTTCATCTACCTAGGCTCTTCTGTCTCTCCTCTCCTCTCCTCTCCTCTCCTCTCCTCTCTCTCTCTCCTCTCCTCTCTCTCTGTCTCTCTCTCATTTTCTCCATCTCTTTCTCTTCCCAGCTTTCTGTTTTTCCATCTTCCCTCTCTCTTTTTCTCTCTCCTCTTTGCATCTCTCCCCCCTTTGCATCTCTCCCCCCTCCATCCTCCAGCGTAGAACAGTCAATAAGATAAAAGTGTGGCTTGTCCTAAATGTTTTGTCATCCTTCAGATGGCAGAGGAAGAAACAAGAGGGACTCTGTTGTTCTGAACCTGCTTCTGACCAGCAAGGAAGACTGGTTGCTGCCGTGGCATCCATGCCTCTGAGGGGCAGTGGCCCTACACCTTCATTGGGTTTGTGCTGGAGAAGGAGCGGCACGGTCCAACCTCTTCCCAGGCTACAGAAGACTGGATCTAGAGGGGGTTGAAGTACCGGGGTGTGGAAAGTGTGGGCGGGGCGCATGGGCATCGCTGGGCACACCGAGCCCACTCTGGCAAGGCTGTGGCTCAGAGGGAGCATAGATGGGATCCCACAGATTAATCTGTAGATGGTGAAGTTGTTCCAAGAAGGATGGGAAATTCTGAAGCCACAAGGGAAGAGGAGGGGGTGCTACCTGAAGAGAGCGCTGTGTTCAGGCAGGGAATTTGTGGACGTCCTCTGATTTTAGAAGCACGTGTACAGGAAAAGGAAGCAAGGGACAAGAATGTTGATGAATCCCAAAGAGCAGCAGCATCTGGGAAGGACTGGGTTGGGCAATCGACCCAAGAAAGAGCCAAGACTGGGAACAGACGTGAGGACAGCAGCAGCAAAAAAAGGTTGGTGTTTTAAGATAATGAGAGTGGCACCAGAAGAAGTGTGTGAATTTCAGATCCCTGAGCTGGGACGGATGAGCAGATGGAAATCGATGCCATCATGGAACCACTCCACCTGTTTTCTAAGGCTAAAACAGGCCCGATCAGCAGGGAGCAGAAACCCAGGCTTTCTCTGAAGGGTCCAATCACCCGGCCCCCACCAACTGCCTCCTGGGATGCTGGAAGACCCCATCTGGCGCTGGGGGCTGACAGTGGTGCTCCCTGAAGGGCTCAGCTAATGGGGGCTGGCACAGGCCAAAGAGAAGAGGGGGACCCTGGGCTCAAGAGAGGGTGAACCACAGAGCAATGAGCATATTGATGCCGCCTGTGAACTTGTGGAGCCCAAGGCTAGTTTGTCGGAGAGAGTGGGGAATGGTTGGTGTAGACCCCCACCTGAGTTAGACTCCTGGCTTATTTCCAGTTAGCATCGTTCAGTTGAGTCCGATTCCATGGGGGTGGTCATTATTGCTCTCGTCCTAGCATTAGCCAATCTAGTGACTCCACTTGCTTAACCAAGGCCTGATGAGTGCATGGCCAAGCCCAGGGTGGCAGGACGTGCGTGACTCAATGGCGTGGAGAGTCCCCCAGCTGTTTTGAACTGTATATCCACCCTTGATGTGCCTTGGCTAGAGAAAGGGCCCTCTGGCGCTTGCCCAATGGGCCTAGGAGTGCGTGACCAGTGGTGACTCTTCTGCTGGAGGTGTCTGTGAATTGATTCCCCAATCCACTGCCCAGCGTGAGGCTACTGAAAGGCCAGGCCATTTGGATACCTTCTACTAGCTACTTCATCACAAGCGTCAAGACACATGTCTATCAATCAATGAGCCTGGGTCTTACTGTGCCTCTTCTGTATTATCTGGGTAAGGAAAGGGGGCATCTCAGATCATGAGGAAGTTCTGAGGCCCACTTCATGGATCTGAGCTCTGCCTCAGTTTCTTTTCTTGTAGGTTGGACAGTTTTGGACTGACCTCATTTCCCTTTTGGGCAGGGTGACTTGACAGGTGGATATTCTGTGATTTGGCAAAGCTCTCCTTGTGGACAAGGTGGGGAGACAGGAGTCAAGGGATCGTACAATGGTGTGGATGAATGTCTGAACGGGGAATAGCCAGTATTGGTAGATAGGTAGGAGGGCCCTAGGGATCTAAGCTGAGCCTTAGACACTTAATGTTGGGGGACAGGGTCAGGACACACAAAGACTTGGACAGACTAGATCAGGGATATCAAACTCAGACAAAACTGGGGGCTACTGAGCCAGAATCAGATCCCTGGGGGCTGCATGTTAACTTAGTTCTTAAATGTGACACCATCTGTGTTTTACTGCATTTTCACTTATTTCGTTAAATATTTCCCAGTTATGTTTCAGTTTGGTTTGGGCCATACTCGGGAGTGTTTTTGCTGCATGAGGCCCCCTGCTCATGGGGCTGGAGCACTGGACTGCATGGCACAGGATGAAATTCAATGGGGACAAATGTGAAGTTTTGTTCCTGGGTCAACTTTACAAGTGTAAGTCTAGGAGGACTGGCTGGGCAGCGGTTCCCCTCTAAGAGACCACTGAGTCTGAATTAGAGTGTCCCCCAGCAGCGAAGGAAGAGACACAGAGAGGCAGGGGGTCTTTGACTAGTGAGGTGCCAGCTCTACTGTTCAAGGCCTGCCCCGGATCACAGCTGGGCCTGGTTCTGGGCAACAGCATTCAAGAAGGACATTGGTAAAGCAGAGGGAGTGACCAGGAAGGAGAAGGGCCTGGGAATCAGGCCCTCTGGGGAGGGAGGTTTAGCCAGAAGACTCAGGAACAGGAACTGGCCACTGTCTTGTGTGTCTAAGGGAAGAAAGAGGAGCCTGCTTTGCTCAGCCCCAGGCTCCAGAATCAGGAGCAGAGCTGTAGACCAGAGGCCAGGTTAGGCCTAAGAACACATTTTCTAATCCTCACAATGATCAGAAGGTGGCAGGCCACCTCAGAAGGCAGTGAGCTCCCCATGGCCACCAGACAGAAGAAGAACACCTGGAAAGAGCTTCACAAACCTCCAAGGCCCTCGTAAAACCCAGCTATTATCGTCAGCCTTGTTTAAGGACAGGTTTGATGAGACCCCTTAAGGACTCCTCCCAGCCATGGTCCCCTCCACTCTCTGACTCTGGGAATTGGGGGCCCTGGGGGCCGTGGAGGGTGAGAGGCCATCTGTAGGCATCATGGCTGGGCTCTATCCTGATTCTGGTGCCTTTGCCCTCCCCTTCCCCTCCTCCACCTTCTGCTACTCTCAGGGTCTGAGGTGGGGAAAGGGGCTGGAACCATTGTTATCACCCCCATTTTAAAGATGAAGAAACCAAGGTGGGGGAAGAGAAGGTCCTGGCCCATGGTCAGTCAGCTTGAAGCTCCTGTCTCAGTTAAGGGGTCCATCTACTCTTGTCTGGACTCCAGTGCTGCCTGGATACTCATAGAGGAGCTACTGTCCCAGGGACCCAGCCACCCAGTCCCTGGCTACTCACCCCAGCCATGAGGCCCTTGGCTTCCCGCACCACACCTAGGATGCTCAGCATAACCCCCAGGATCAGCATCGAGGTCAGGAAGATGCCCAGGGAGAAAGCTGTGGGCCAGGGGACAGGGAGAGATTTCAATCAGGAGAGGGAGCCCCTGGGGTGGGAGTGGGGGGAGAAACTAGGGAAGGAGCTTGGGGAGACAGTAAGGGAAAGGGGCTCCTGAAAGGACAATTAGGGGAAGGGGCTCCTGGAGGGACAGTCAGGGGAAGGGGCTCCTGGAGGGACAGTCAGGGGAAGGGGCTTCTGGGGGACAATTGGAGGAGAGGACTCCTGGGCAGGACAATCAAGGGGAAGGGCTCCTGAAAGGACAGTTGGGGGAAGGGGCTCCTGAAAGGACAATTAGAGGAGGGGGCTGGGGAGAACAGTCAGGGGAAGGGGCTCCTGAGAGGACAGTTAGGGGAAGGGGCTCCTGGGGGACAATTAGGGGACAGGACTCCTGGGCAGGACAGTCAAGGGGAAGGGCTTCTGGGGACACTGAGGGAGTCTCCTAGCCCCTGGGTGAATCCCTTCAGCCTCAGTTTCATTGTCTGTTCTACCACCGACTCCCTTTCAGAGCCACAGAAGGCTTTCCTCAGTACAATCCTGACACTGTTCACATCCCCATCACGGATAAAGAACATGAGGCTTGGGAGTTATGCCAACAGCTGCTAAGTGGCAGATCCCGGGTGTCCGCCATGGTCAGCTCCTCTCCTCTTGGTCTGAGAGCAGCCCCTCTCCTGCACCCCTCCCGGAAGCTCAGACCGGCCCTACTGCCTGAGGAACCTCCTTGGCCTGGGCCATGACTAGCTGCTCTCTGCCAGCCAGGTCAGCCCAAGCAAGTCCTGGCTGCAGATCCCTTGGCCCCTCACCCTCCTCCTGTCCTGACCATTTCCCTGGCCAAGCCCCTAAGCCCCACAGAATCCACAGAGCCAGGGGTGTCCTGGCTCCAACCCTTCCAGAAGAGAGGGGCAGCTTGGCATCTGAGGAGGTCCAGGAGACCCGAGTTCCTAGGACAGACCACAGCATGTCAGAACTGGAAGAAACAAGAAACTGTCCAGTTCAACCTCCTTATTTTATGCATAGGGAAACTGAGTCCCAGACTTTTCTTAAGTCACACAGGAAGTAGCAGTTACTGCTTTGTCTTTGCAAAACGTCATCCTGCCACCCCTCATTTAAATCTTGTCTCCACTTTGTGCCTCGGTTTCCTCAAAACCTCAGAACCTTAAAAAAAAATCCAGAACTTGCTGAGTGAAGCCAGTCTGTGTCTTTGAAACTGGAGGGGTGGCCAGGCCCAGAGCTGGCCAGGCCTCCTGAGGAGGACCAAGCCTCCCCGGGATCTGGAGCCCAAGTGTCCAGGAAAAAGTCACTGGGGTGTGGTCACAGAATCAGAAGGTTTAGAACAGAAGAAGGCAAGAGCCTGAGTCCAAGTGCTTCACTTTACAGATGAGCAAACTGAGGCAAAGAAAAAGGGGAGGAGCCTGGCCAAAGTCATCCAGGTAGCAAGTGCAATTTGAGCCCAATTCTTCATTCTTTTTTTTTTGCTTTTTTTTTTTGATGAGGCAATCAGGGTTAAGTGACTTGCCCAGGGTCACACAGCTACTTAATTAATTCTTAATAAGGGACCCCAGATGTTACCCTGCCCAACTCCCTCATTTTACAGATAGGGAAACTGAGGCCATCAGAGAAGACACTTGCTCAGGGTCAGAATTGGGCTCTGGTGTACCCAGGATGGATGCTCTGGGCAGGGGGCTAATGGGGGGACTCACCCCAGTGGTACATGGACCCATAGGGGTCGTCCTCTGGGGAGATGGTGTGGATGATGACAAAGCGGTCCCCGAATCGGGTGAGGATGGTCAGGAAGCCCATGGACAGGCCCAGGAGCTGTGGGGAGACAGCAAGAAAGAATTTGGGGGGAGGAGAGGTGGACGGGGGTGCTCCTGTAACCCAGAGGGGTTGGGCTCCCCTAGCCTCCCCACAACAGGCTGCTCAGGCCACGGCCGGGGGAGGGGAGAAAGCTCCTGGCCTCCTTCTTGTGCCGCTGCTGGGGCCCTGAAGAAGTCACTGGACGTCTGGGGTACTCAGTTTCTCTCTCTGAACAATGGGAGGAAGTAACCGCCATCCCCTCTCCTTCTTGAGGCTTTGCCATAAAAACAAAGAGAGGAGGTGGACAGGTGAGGGAGTAACCCATGCAAATGGTCCCGGGCAGGGTCCCCGCCCCAGTGGGCTTTGGCCTTAACCCAGGAGGTGTTTCCCCCAGACGACTGTCTAGGTTGATCTTTAACCCTGTACAGAGTGGGTGGGCTCAAACCCAGGGGGGCTTCAAGGTAGAAATGTCCCTCCTCTGTTGGTGTCTCACACCACAAACTCTGGGGCCCTTACAACAGGGAGCCTGGGTGCCCACTGATGGAGAAGGCCAAGGAGACCAATTAACCCCCTCGTCCACTCCCAACCCTTAGCCTCAGCTCACTGCCAACCCCCAAGGAAAGGCAGCCTGGCACTCTGTATCACGGGAAGAAGGAGGAAGAGGCAGAGGAATAGAGAAGCCTCCACCTCCAGACCCCTGCCCCCACACACTGCTGCTCCAGAGCCCTTCTATACCAATGGTGCAAGGGGCCTCTCTGAACCAGCCCCAACCCCACAGGCTCAGTCCCTTTCTGGGCTGAGCCGCAGCTCTGGCTCTGGGCCTGCTCCACCTCTGGGCTGGTCTCTCCCCAGGCTCAGACCTCTGTCTCTGCCTCTGCCTGCCTGACCCATGGCTCAGACCCAGCGCCCATTTCTGCCTTTCTCCTGGCCTCTGTCTGTCCTGTCCTGGGGCTCAGCCTGGCCTCTGCCTCAGGCCCCAGGAACCAGCATCTTCCTGCCTGCAGTGACAGGAGGTGATAACTCGGTTTCTGGCAGCCCTGATAAGGCCCTGCTCTCTCATCCAGCCAGAGGCCTCTGTAGCCCTCCCTGGTTCCTGCTCTGACTTTAGGAGGCTTTGGGGCCCAGTCTGGGGCCCCTCTGGTCCAGCACCCTCACCACCCCCATGGCCCCCACTAACCCAAGCCATGAAAATTACCAGGGTGAAGAAGCAGGTGGCCAGCAGCTGGCACTTAGCAAAGCGAACCCGACATTGGGGGCCCATGGTGGCAAGCCTTTCCTCTCCCCCAGGACTTCAGCAACAGACACCAACCCCAGCAAGCCCCAGGCTGTGGTTTCCAGCAGAGCTGAGGCCAACAACCACAACGTCCTCAGATGGGCCGCGGAGCACAGTGGGAGATGTAGTTAGTGTGTTTGGGGGGAGACAAGGCCCTGGCCTCCAGTCTGAGCAGAGGCCCAGGCCTTGGGGAGCCTCCACTCTGAGGGATCATGAGCCTCTGGCCTCTAGGGGCCCCAAGTATAGCCTCCAGTCTGAGGAGAGGCTCTGATCTCTGCAAGCTTTGCCCCAGGCTTGGAAAGTTCATCAGCATAGATACCACTAAACTTCTCACTTAATTAGCAAAAATAATCTAAGGTCAGCAGCCCTCTCAGCCCTCCTCCTGCATCTAGGTCTGCCTCCTACGCTTTTAAGAAGTGGTTCTCTGTCAGATTTACGGAGAACAGAAGAATTCATGACCAAACAGGAGATAGACGACATTATGAAATGCAAAATAGATTATTTTGATTACATTATATTGGAAAGTTTTGCACAAACAAAGCCAATGCAACCAAGATTAGGAGGGAAGCAGAATATTGGAAAAGAATTTTTACAACCAGTGTCTCTGATAAAGGTCTCATTTCTAAAATATATAGAGAACTGAGACAAATTTATAAGAATACAAGCCATTCCCCAATTGATAAATGGTCAAATGATATGAACAGGCAGTTCTCAGATGAAGAAATTAAAGCCATCTATAGTCATTTGGAAAAATGCTCTAAAATCACTATTGATTAGAGAAATGTAAATCAAAACAACTCTGAGGTACCACATCACACCTATCAGATTGGCCAACATGACAAAACACGAAAATGATAAATGCTGGAGAAGATGTGGGAAAATTGGAACCCTAATGCATTGTTGGTAGAGTTATGAACTGATCCAACCATTTTGGAGAGCAATTTAGGGCTATGCCCAAAGGGCTATAAGACCATGCATATCCTTTGACCCAGCAATAGCACTTCTAAGGCTGTATCCCAAAGAGATCATACAAATTGGAAAAGGATCCACGTATACAAAAATATTTATAGCAGCTCTTTCTGTGGTGGCAAAGAATTGGAAATTGAGGGGATGCCCATCCATTGGGGAATGGCTGAACAAGTTGTGGTATATGAATGTAATGGAATACTACTGTGCTGTAAGAAATGATGAGCAGACCCTATTGTTTAGTAAAGAGTCAACTGAGCTTTAAAAAACAAATATGCTACTTAGTAGATAGGTAAAGGGGGGAAATCTGAGCAGAGTTATTTTAACTGTATGATGTGGGAGCTCCTAGCCTAAGAGAAAAACAAAGAGGTGTAGACATTTAAAGATTCACGAAATAAAAGTCAATACAAAATATACATACAGTCGTTTATTAAACAGCTGTAAACACTTCACTGTAAAAATCCATAAAACTTTATAAACAAACATTTTGTAAATAAAGTCTATGCTACAGTAAAAGAATAGACACAATTATTTACATGCAACACTGACAAATCTGGCACTTTTTGAAAAGAAATGTACAAACCACTTCTGTTTAAAAAGAAATTCAAAATTATAAAAACTCAGAGCATTACTATCGTGCACTTTGCAAATAGGGCACAGCTAGCAGAGAGCTCCAGGCACCCTCTCACCAAGCTCCTTATTACAAGTTTAGGTAACTTTTTTTTTTGGTTTTTGTTTTTGCTAGGCAATGGGGTTAAGTGACTTGCCCAGGGTCACACAGCTAGTAAGTGTTATGTGTGTGAGGCCGGATTTGAACTCAGGTCTTCCTGAATCCAGGGCCGGTGCTCTATCCACTGTGCCACCTAGCTGCCCCTTTAGGTAACTTTTAATGTGCTTCCATAAGGTTGTTGTAAAACCACTTGAACATTGTCAAGAATAAAATCAAGTGCTGTATTTAAAAAAAACAAAGAAAGAAAAGAAATTCTGGGCAGGCAGACGTCAGAAAATCCTGGAAAGACTTAGATGAACTGATGCAGAGTGAAGTGAGCAGAGCCAGGAGGATGTGTACACAGTAACAGCCACATTGTGGGATGACTAACATTGATACACTTAACCCTTCTCAGCAATAAAAGGATCTAAGACATCTCCAAAGGCCTCACGATGGAAAATGCTGTCCACAAAGAAGAAAGAACTGTGGAGTCTGAATGCAGATCGAAGCGGACTATTGGCTATTTTTTTCTTCTATTGTGCTTTGCTTCCTCTTTCTGGTGGTTCTCCTATTGGTTCTAATTCTTCCTTACAACATCACTAATGTGAAATTTTTTTAAAAAATGGTTCGGAGGGTTCTTTGGGTCTGCTACAGCAGCCCCTCCATATTGGCTCCTGAGCCTGGTTCTACTTCTCTCTCCACACATGGTGCAAGGGGGCGGGACACAAATCCCTTTGGGAAAGTAAACAAAAAGTCTTCCGTGTGTGTGTGTGTGTGTGTGTGTGTGTGTGTGTGTGTGTGTGTGTGTGTGAGAGAGAGAGAGAGAGAGAGAGAGACAGATTAGAAGAGAGGAGAGACAGAAACAAATGGACAGACAGAGAAGAGAGATAGAGAAAGAAAAGAGAGAATGAGAGTGGCAGAGTGGAAGGAGGGGCAGAGAGAGGGGAAGGAGAAAGAAGAAAGAGGAAAGGGGGGGAGGAGGAGAGAGAGAGAGATGGAGAGAGACAGAGACAGAAACAGAGATAGAGAGACATAGAGAGGAAGGAGAGAGAAACAGAGAAGGAGAGAGACTCACCCGTGTCTCCAGTTCTCTCCTAAGTGACCCGGAGGCCCTCCTGTCCCAGTCCCTTAGCTGCTGCTCCTGCTCTGCCTGCCTGAGGGTGGAATTTGTACCCTTCAAGCCTGGAGATGCAGAGCCCCAGTCTTCTTGGAGACCATGGAATCCAAAGGCCTCTTTTTACAGAGGAAGAAACTAAAGGTTGTTTGTCCTTCCTTTATGAAGCAGACCAAGAGATGGTGGAGGGCTTTGCCATTCCCTTTTACAGATGGGGAAACTGAGGCAAAGAGAATGAAGCGACTTGCCCAGGGTCACGCAGCTAGGAAGTGCCTGACTCCAGGCCCAGCCCTCTATCCACTGCCCACCTGTGTCCAAGGCCCTGTGTCTGAGCTGAACCTGGACCCCAGATGCCTTGATCCCAAATCCAGTGCTTTCCTTGAAGTCACACCTTCTCCACTGGGTCCTAGAGTGAATCTCAGGGTTCCCAGGCAGAAGGGCCCTCCCACAGTGGCCTGTTCTTTCCCCATGCGTTCAGAGATCTCCCCCCCTGCCTCTGGAGGCAGGAATTCTGTGGTGACCTTGTTGTGCAAAGGAGGCTGAGAGATGAGGGTGGGGGAGAAAGTCGGGCAGGCTTAGATTTAGGAGCCTGCGCTCAATTCTTTTTAAGCAATTTTTAATTTTTTTAGTGCCAACAGCTATGAACATTTCCATTTAGAGTCCTGACAGAGAAAGAGACACTGAGATGGCACAGAGTGCCGGGCCTGGAGTGTGGTAGGCCTGAGTGCAAAGGCAGTGTCAGACGCTGGCTAGCTGTGGGGCCCTGGGCAGGTCACTTTGACACTGTCTGCCCTAGAGTCCTCAGCTGTAAAAAGGGGCTGATGCCCATGCCAGGGTTCTTGTAACGATCAAAGGAGATAGTAATTGTGGGAGCTTAGCTCACTGTCCAGCACATAGGAGGTGCTGTATAAGCATTTTCTTTCTACATGAAATTTTGAATTTGTTCTACATAGTTTTTTGGGGTTTTAAAAATGTATATTGAATTAGAAGCAACAGTAACAGAACCTACCTTGCTTTTTGGAGCCCCCGGGACTCCCCTACGCCCTCTCTTCTGGGCGGCTTTTTAATGTCATGTGGATACAATTTTCTCTCTTTTCCTTCCCCGCCCTCCCACTCCCACACTGGATTCGATACCCACCCACCTGCCTCCCCAGGAGCCCAAGCAGGAGGCCTATGTTAGCAGAAGAAGCAAACCCACGAATGGGCAGTCGGATAGTGCCCCCCCCCCATAGCGTGCTCCATGTGCCCCCGAGGCGGCTGCCCTTCCGACCACTGGAGTAGTTCCGAAGTCCCTCAGAGGGGCTCTGTGCGCCGTCCCCGTGGTCACTGGACCGGCTGTGCTCCTGGGCCCATTCTTGTCCTTCCTCAGTTTATACAAATGCTCTCTGGCAGCCCTGAAACCCACCCTTCCCCTTTTCTCAGGGGTCAGTAACTTTCCATCAGTTTCATAAAACACGATTTGTGCAGCTATCCCCCGAGCGATGGGCACCCCTGTGCTGCCAGTTCTGTTACAACGAAAAGAGCCCCCTGACTCCTTTTGTACACCTGGGGCCTTGGTCTCACCTGTTTGGGGCACTCCGTATTGCTGGGTCCAAGGCATAGGCCCCGCCCAGTTCCGATTTCGCTCTCGCTGGCTTTTCCTTTCGCTCTTCCCAGATCTCCCTGAGAGATGTCAACGTGGGCAGCGTGGTCTCAGAAAACGGCTGGATCCGGAGTCGTCAGAGGACTGGGGCTCAATTCCAGCTTTGCCACGGGGTGGGGGGAGGGGGCCTGTTTGAAGAGGGACTGACCTGCAGCGTTGGCCCAGTGCCAGTTCTATCGGGAAAGGGGCGAAAGAGATTGGGGAAGAGTGAGTGACTGGGGCAAAGTGGGGGCCACGTGAGAGCAGGACAGAACCTGCTTGGGGGTGGAGTGGAGGGGGGGCAAGCGCCATTCCACACACAGGGAACTCCCACTTTTGCCCAAGGTCAAAGTGGGGACAGTCTTGAGGGGGTTAAACAGCCAGAGAGTGCCAAGAAGACCTGGAAGAGTGGGCCATGCCTCTCCCACTCTCGTGCTGCCACCCTCCAGTACCCAGGCAGGATTCCACTCAGGGAGGGCTCCAGAAGAGCAGGCCCAGGGCCCAGGCCCTTTATGCTGGGAACCACCCCAGTATTAGGCACAATCTCAACCTTGTGCTGGCCTCATCCCACTGGAAGCCCTTACCTAATTCCCCACACATCCTGTGGTCTGTCCTTCTGGAGACACAACAGCCCTCTTCCCCTTCTTCCCCTCATTCTTTCCCCTCCACTT